TTCTAAGAAATCATCACATTATGCCACCAAAGATTTGCGCGTTAAAAGACCTAGTATAAGACAAAAACTTTTTCGACAATCTGGCATCTATCACATGCCAAATACGACAGTAAATGCCACACAAACTCTGGTACAGGCTGTCATTAGCACACCGGTACCACAGTGTGCCCAACCTCTGATAAGTGCAGCGCCTCCAAAAACATTGATGGAAAAGAAACGTAAACGTTTGCAAAGATTGGACGCTTTACAAGTGCCTGCAATGGTGCGTATGAGTTCGGCACCATAAAATCCAAAGAAAAAAAAAAAAAACAATCATACGCTCTAGGTTTTAAATTAATGAATATAATGTGGTTGAGTGTAAACGTCATGTGCTGGTGGCGTACACAGCATCCTTAATAAATATGTATAAAAACAGGAAATGAATAAAAAATAGTATAAATATATTTAAAAATAATGTTGTTTATAAATTTAACTTGTGTTTTTTCGCCTTTTATTATCATTTTGATTTATTTTAATTATAATGTTTTTATATATGCAACTTTTATACAAAAACGATTTCTTTTTTAATAAAGAAAAAAATTAAAAAAATTGCTGACAATGAACTCGCAAACAAATTCAATTAATGTTTTCTAGGAATATTATTGTACACTGCACTACCCATTAAACTGCATTATCACACGTAACATAAACAAGAAAATATGTAGAGGTAAATGACCTATCTATCTATCTATCTATCTATCTATCTATCTATCTATCTATCTATCTATCTATCTATCTATCTATCTATCTATCTATCTATCTATCTATCTATCTATCTATCTATCTATCTATCTATCTATCTATCTATCTATTTATCTATCTATCTATCTATCTATCTATCTATCTATCTATCTATCTATCTATCTATCTATCTATCTATCTATCTATCTATCTATCTATCTATCTATCTATCTATCTATCTATCTATCTATCTATCTATCTATCTATCTATCTATCTATCTATCTATCTATCTATCTATCTATCTATCTATCTATCTATCTATCTATCTATCTATCTATCTATCTATCTATCTATCTATCTATCTATCTATCTATCTATCTATCTATCTATCTATCTATCTATCTATCTATCTATCTATCTATCTATCTATCTATCTATCTATCTATCTATCTATCTACTACCTGAGTATCGTATCTTATCATTTTTTTATTTTTCAATAAACTTGAACATATACAAATTTGTTTTGTTCAATCGTTCTTTTATTTCAATCATTTCTATTTATTTTTGCTATTTGGCATTTTATTTGTTTTAATGATTTCATTTAAACATTTTTTTGGTACCGACTCCCTGTTTATTGTTTTTATTTATATTATTTTCTTTTCCAAATTTCAATAGACATATGGGCAGATCATTTTGTTTTATTTTTTTACTTAATTTAATTGTTTATACTTGTGGCTTAAGTATAAAACAAAAAAAAATTATTATGTTATTAGATTTTTTAGCGGTTGGTTTATAAAAAGGAAAAAACATTTCAACTGATTAATTTATTATATTAGTAGAGTTTATATTTGCATAAAAAACAAAACACTTAATTAAATTGTTTATATTCTTGCATACAAAGAGAGTAGGTGCCATCGCAATTAATTAATTGATGAATTTAGTTAAAATAAATACAAATTTTGAATTATAATTGAAAAAAAAAAAATTTATGAAAAAATAATATTTATAATAGCTAATAGAAAGAAAATGCAAAAAATAGAATTTTAATTTGTATGAATAATTAAAAAAAATTAAACTTTTAAAAAGGGCAACTCAACATTTCTGTATAAATATAACTACAAATTAATAAAATTAAAATTCTTCAAATTTATCTTACTACTAACTCACATGTACATATAAATGTTTTTAAATAATTATTACGAATTAAAAATATGTTCCATACTACACAGTGGTGGTGGGTGTCTCTAATAAATAATTTTTATACACCATCGTTTTTATTATTTATTAAATGTACAGTTTTTTCGCCTGCCCCCTCAAATCACATGAAAATTACCTTGTCGAAACAAAAAAATAATTCAACCTGAACGTTTTTTCCCCTTCAGCTTCCTTTAGATTTAACTCTACAGACAGATTACAAATTTGTAATATAAACATGTTTACAATTGTTTATTTTATTTTTTTTTTTGCAAGAAAATGCATCGATCGTTAGATTTCAATTGCATTGTTCACCCAAAAATATTTTCTATTACCGATTCGTTGGTTAGATCGTTTCTTTATTTCGTGTTTGTATATTTTTTTAACAAAATTATTATTTAGTGAAAAGTTAATTGATCCTAAGTATTTGAGAAATTACAAAGAAAAACGATCGTTAATACATGTGCAAAGTGTTCTGCATGTGTTTATATTAAAAATATCTTATATTGGCTCTTCAAATCATGCGTTTTAATTTTGTAAATTTTTTGAACATCATAAATTTAATTAGTATTTTTTTTTTTGGAAAAACATATCACGTAGAAAGCGGAAATTGGTTTTTTGGTTTTAAATTTCTTTTAAAAAATGTGTATAGTTAAATACACAATATTTTGTTTTATTTACCAGGAATATATTTTTGAAAATTCCCGTGGTAAATTTCGTCTCAATTTCATTAAACGATTTCTTTAGTAAACTTTTGTTTAATAAAATTCTATACATTTTCTGATTCCCAAGTTATTTACTTTGAAAATAAAAAACGATGAATGAAATTAGAGTGATCTACCCTCCTATGGTTAACTAACATCGACTTACGAAGAAATAATAATATCACAATTTTCTATACATTCGGAAAATTAAATCAAATTGATTACTAGAAATGTGGTAACATAATTCTAATATTCTTTCGTTTTAAAGATTTCTTTGAAGTTTGAATGGTCAGTCGCCTATTTACGGAACTAATAACAATTAAATTTTTTAATATAAACATTTTAATATAAATTAAGTATGTATATTTATATTAAAATGTTGCAAGTATATTGAAATTTTCATAAAATAAGAAAACGACTTTTGATGGAAAACTGAAGTGATCACAGATTATTTAATAAAAACCATATAATTTATCAATTAAATCAGCTCACATGTTCATTGATATGCTGAATACCCATTCATCTCTCAATAACGGTATAATTATTCCACACATTTGCTTTCTATATTTATACTGTACCTACAATTATTACTAACACTGCCAAAATACATACAAATCATACCAAATAAAACAACTATGTCCGGTTGATTTATTTAGTAAACTGACATCGGGCACGTACATCTGGTTGGAAAAAATGAGAATTTAAGAAGCGAAAAAGCGAAATAATTTTTAAAATTTAACACCTAAATAAAATAAGCTAACAGAATGAACACCTTAAAGCTCTCAACAAACGCTTTGAAAGTCAACAATGCTGCTGTCATAAGGAGTAGTAATCAGTTAAAACAACAGCAATTGTGGTGTTTAAAACGTGCAGCAAACTATTCCACAGCTGTCTTTATACGTAACATTGGCAGTCCAACTCAAGCAGCCACGATTTACAGCAATAAGGACAGTTTTAAAACACAGAGTTTGCTTTGGCCACAATTACAAAATCATGCCTGTGCACCCATCTACAATACACGCTGTCAATTTGGCACAAAGAATGCACCCGATAGAGCCAATAAGTCTGATACCAAATCAGCCGCCATCACCGATGTGGACTTATTTGGTGAAGCCTCCAAATTGGGTTTATTTGCTAAGTTTAAGTTAATGTATAAGAAGTACTGGTATGTCTTGATTCCAGTGCATGTGGTGACCTCTGCTGGTTGGATGTGTGGCTTCTATTATCTGTCAAAAAGGTGAGTAAAGGTCATGTGTTATCTATCAAAACTCTTTTAAACATAACTTTAAATTTTAGCGGAGTGGATGTACCCTCTCTTTTACAATATATACATTTAAGTGAAACCATCATAGAAAAAGTGCAAAGTTCTAATTTGGGTCATTGGGCAGTGGCATATTTGTGCTATAAGGTAGCCACTCCCGTACGTTATGCAGTCACTTTGGGTAAGTGTTACGAATTGCTTAAAAAAACAATTTTCTAAAAGCTTTTTCCTTAAAATTACAGGCGGCACCACCGTTTCTATCAAGTACTTAGTACAACAGGGTCATATCAAACCAATACCCACTAAAGAGGAATTTGTACGCATGTATGAAGAGCAAAAAGCCCATCGAGCTGCTGTTAAGGCTAATGCCGAAAAAGAACAACAACAGCAGCAACAAGATCAAAAAAATAAATGATTTTGTCACATACACTGCAAATTTAAATCGAACTCTCCCAAATAGAGCCAAAGAACAAAATTTGCAGTGAGTTTGCTAAAATTAAATGAAATACTATAATCCACATGAGTCAATGAAATCTAAATTTCAAATACTCATCATCCTGCTACAACCCCTTTCCTTAAAAACCCTAAAGAATCTTTTTAAATGAATACAAAAAACTCTTACAACATAAAGATGTCTAATAATGGAAAGTGTTTTTGTTATTTTTTTTCCCTTAAAAGAGATTGTCCTTATGGAGCTGAGAGTGTTAAGAATGTAATGTAAAATGATATCCTTCGAAAAAAAATTTATATTTTTTTAATATTTATAAGCAGAGTTTTGTTAATTTGAGCTCTCTGGCTTAAAATCTACAAAACCTTATTGTTTTAGGTTTGGTATTATTTGTTAAAGCAAATGGTTTTTGATGAGAAGATTTTGTGGCAAAGAGAGTTTTGCAAAAAAATTTTATTTCTTTTTTTTTGTTTAAATTAACAAATCTGCAAAATGCCTAAGTTTAAATTTGTTAATGTTATTTTTTAACAATGAAACGTATATATTTAATAACTATACTATGCTAAATAATTAATCATTTAAAATGATGTTAAAATAGAAATATTTGAAAAAAACTATGCTGATTGTTTTATTAACTTTTTTAAATACTGTTTTCAGATAAAACTGCAAATTAAGTAAAATCTTATAGTATAGAGTATGAATTTTATTATAATATTTATGCAAATTTTTAAAATCTCCATAAATTAAAAAAAAAATTTAGAAAACACAAAACACGTTTATTTCACATTATTAGCAGATTACTTATCAACAGTTCCTTCCAACAATTCAGCCCTTTGAAATATAGGTTTTGTTGTGAGAATATTAAAATCTAAATGTTGTACTCGTCCCTCCTTCTTACGACGATAATCTAACATTAAATCTTTAAAGATTTGAAAATTACTAAACGAATACAATAATTCGAAAATTTCGGAATCAACAAATCCCAAAGAATTTGTTGTAGAGTCATAAGAGCTACAATTAAAAATAAAGGTTTTAAATCAAGTTTTAGTTTATATTCATTCCTATTTTCCAATCTTACTTTAATTCCTGAGCAAATTTTTCCATATCGAAATCCTCCATACATTTGTTTAACTCTTCCATAAAGAATGTTTCAAATGTTGTGGTGTATTCCTCAAATACATCCATATATTCCAATTTGTTTTCTTCATTATACTCGAATTTAGACCAATTTCTTTCCAAGAATTGTTCGTGTAAATTTTGAAATGTGTCGCTTAGAACAATATCTTCTATATGACCAATGACTTGATCGAAATATTCATTTACCGTTGTTTGGCAAACAATATCGATGTTTGTCTCTTCGCTATCACTATAATCCATGGTAAAAATATAATTTTATTGAGTTCTTTTTTTATCAAAGAATAACTTTTTTTATTATTTTATTTTTTTATAAATTTGTAAATACTTGTTTACTTAATGTCAACAAAGGTTTCCAAGGCAACCATAAAAAATTTAACAGGTGTGGAAAACTGTATTAAAAAATTTCTTCCACTAAATTTTATTGTCAGTTTAAAATAACAAACACCAAATGTTCACCAACGTCTGTAGAGGATTAGTACATAGATTAATCAATAAACCGGTCCATAGACTGGTAACTATACTATTACTTTAACTATTTAATAGGCTTCTTCATATGCAGTCATTCCCTAACTAATCTACGGTCTATTAACTAGTCAAGAGAATAGCCCATAGACTCGACAATAGTCTATTGACAGTCTAGCACATGAACTAGTCACAATAGACAAATCTATGGACTAGAATCTATAAAATACATAGAATGGTCTATATGCTAGTCGATAGACTGGTTTAGATTAGTTCTTAGACATTTCTATAGACTAGTACATAGACAAATAAAAAAGTTAATTACTTTTAATTAAAAACTTGTTCATTTTATTAATTAATTGTTAAGTTTATTAATAATATGATCATTTTATTAATTTTTTTCCAATTTATTAAAAACTAACATTTTATATTACAAATATTAACAATTAAATGCATAAATTTGCAAACCACAGCCATATAGCAAACAAACATCGGAATCGGCTAAAGCTACACCTTTAATATCGGCCACACATGAGTAAAAACTATCCACAACTTCACCTGTTTTCAAATCAAGTTTATGCAGCATCTGATCCACACCGCTGGTAAACCCATATAGACCACAGGAACTCAAGGCACTAGCGCAGACTTGAGCGGTATGTAAATAAGGTTTATGGAATTCATTTAATATCACAAAGTCCAAATTTTTGACTGACAATTCCGTATAAGAAACAGCTTGATCATCACCACCACTTAAAATTTTTAAACAATTATTTGAGGAATTATATAAAACGGCGAGACCATTTATGCCACTAGAGTGATGCTGCAACTGATGACAACATTTCGAAATTTTACTATCATAGAACTTTAAAAGGCCATCAGTGGCGGCCACTATAATTAAATCTAAATCAGCTAAATATTTCAATTGTAGAATGCATTTGCCATAGAAGTACTGTGTTTGCAACTGGGTTTCCATGGTTTTTAAATTAAGTTTTAAATGTCTTATAAAACCATCGGAACAACCCACATAAATTTCATATTCCTCCTTATTTACAGATTTAACGTCCAAAGCCATTAAACGAGTCTCGGGATCAAAATTATATTCTTTATCATTGGTTTTATTGCTGCTATCCGGTTTTAAAGTATAATTAATCAATTCGTTTATGTGGTAACTACTACAGTTTACTTTCGAAACACAAAGTTGGGCCCGACCGCCTCCAGAAAATATTAAGAATTCATTGTCATTTAAAGGTAAAAGTTTAAGGGCTCTTATATTCGATATATGATTATGTAATTCTTTGCTCTCCTTAAGACCATTTAATGGGTTGAAGGTATGAACTTTTAACAGATTATCATCTCCCGCTGTTACTACTATTTGCGATGAATGGGAAGTTTTGGGTAATATTTCCATTATATTGCAGGGTGCTATATGCCAACGTTTAGCCAAAGGTAAAGTGGTTAACTCTTTGTTTAATAAAGGCATTTCGTAAAAACGTACTCTTTTATTTTTGATAAATGCTAGAGAAATTTTAAAGTCCTTGGAATTTATCATAAAATGCCAACATCTGTGACCACCACCGCAGGGCAACTGCAGCAGAAAATCAAATTCTTTACACCAAGCCACAAAATGATTGTCATTAAATCCTAGATATAAATCCAAATCATTATAGCACTTTTCAATATATTCAACCCAGGAAACGGGTATAATTTGGCGTGAGCAAGTTTGCATTGTGGCATTAATTAAGTCAATTGAGAAGATATTTAGAGCACCATCATGGCCAGTAGAGCGTATTAAGGCCGAGTTCAAGGTTTCTTGCAGACAGTGTAGATTAGTGGCTCCTAAATTGCCATGAGGGTGTTTTATGATTTGTTTTAAATCGTAATTATTGGTTTCTTGTAGAAGCTGATACAGCAGCAAATTGCCTTGTCTATTGCTTATTACTATATATTGTTGCTGCTGCAGTTTTACAGCCGTTGTCAGCCAAGGTTCCTTGCATTTGGGCAATTCCAAAGTTTGTTTATTATTTAGCGAGTCTTCAAATATTAAACAATTGCCTTGATCATCACATAATAAATATTGCTGTTTGCTAAAGAACACAAAACTTCTTATTACACTCTTAAGCAACTCCTCATCATGTAATAGTATAAACTCTCCACTGTTCTCTTGACATTCTAAGATAATCAAACGTTTGTAGCCACATATAGCTATACGATTTTCAAATACTTCCATTACCGTACATTTAAAATTTACTGTTATTGGCACTTTTTCCCAATTAAGCCATTCCTCTCCCTTATGTATGGAGGTCATTAAATTATTTTGATTTGTTACTCCTATTAAATGTTTAGCATTTAGAAATTTTATTTTTGCTATATATTCCGTAGCAGCTCCCTCTGTTAGTGCTGGTAAAAGAGTTTCCTTTTGGGGTAGTTGAGTTTCTTGCAGCACTCGGCTTAAACCAAAAGCCACTAAATTTCCTATAGAGCCAATGGTGTAAATGGTTTTAGTATTATTGTCGTAGACAAAATTCCAAATTGTGGCTCCATATTGCTGGCGTCTTTTAAACAGAAGTTGTCCATTTTTATGCCATAGACAAAAGTACGAATCCTCCCCCACACTGAGAGCATAAATATTGGGACCTATAGACATGCAACAGCAGTTTTTAATTTAATATACATACACATTTTTGTTTTTTAATCACAATGCTTATTCAAATTTCGTCTGAAATTTCAGAAGGTAAAACTCACCATTTTTTATAATACGTCCTTGAAAAACTCTAGCCACATGACCATAACCACTTGATAAAGCTCGCAGCTTCGCATCAGTCCAGTTGCCTTCAGAAGAAAATTCAACTTTCCACCATTTTATGGCACGATCATCGCTGGTGGTTATAAGACATTGCGAAGACTGGTCATAATCAATTGAAAATATAACACCATTATGGGCCGAAATACGGTGTAATAAAGGTGCTGCTTTAGGTTTTAAAGGCTCTTCCTTATTTTCCTCATTCTGTTTAGGTTGCCAGATAAGCAGCTCTCCAAAAGCATTACCAGCAAATACCACCAATTCATCCCAATTTTTGCCATATAAATGTGCACAATATAATGTTGACTTGTCGGTGCAAGAGACCCGCTCCTTAAGTTCGCATTTGTTTTCTTTAACATTTAAAGAAAATCTCAATATTATGCTATGAGCTGTTAGCAGCACAATTTCTTCTTGGTCTGCATTCACAAACAAACCACAACTAATCCAATCACTTAATTCTGCCCTATAAAATTCTCTGAATTCATAGTTTTCACTATATTCCAGTAAAGCAAACTCCTTTTCACCATAAACTAATAACAGTTTAACATCAGGCTGTGTGGACTTCCTTATGCAATGCACTTTATTTGTAAGTTTTATGTCCAGCACTTCTGTCTCAAACACGTTTTCTTGTTTGGGATTCCTTCTATACAAATGTAATTCGTTGCCTTTACCTTTGGATTTGTGGAAATAAAATACATTATTTTGGGTATTTGCAAGCAATTATTTATGGACTTACTGGTTAATATGGTAAAATTATCCAGGATTTCAATGGCTATTGAATCGGTCACAGTTTCTATTACTTTGCCCATGTTGTCATTTTGACATTTCAAAAATGTAAAAATTTGGAATACAAGTCGTATTTTGTTGTGCGAGAAGCATACAGATATCTTTCATATGTCAAATCACATATGAAAAAATTGACATTTATTGAAACCACATAGAAATATTTTCACAAATTGTCACTTGCTGTCACCTCATTCAAGTTGCTAGAGAGAGAGTTACTGCGAATAAGCAGAATTTGCTGTGCACCTCACACAAACACGAGTATTTCTTATGGGACCTAGGCTGCTGCGTATCCCTAGGGCCACTTTCATTTGACGCAGCACATATAAAAAATATAATATTGCTGTGCACCGCTTGATGAAATTTCTGTGCACAGCAGATTGTTCTCTGGAATTTAATGTTGTCAACAAATGTTTAAGAACACAAGTTGAATCACAACATGTTTATTGTTTATATTATTATTGGTATTTAATACTTTTTTTGCAACTCTGTATTTTCTCATCATCTTAACAGCTGATCGTCGTTTTTAGATACGAAAACCGTTTGGTTGTCTACTAACAACCGTTAAGTAATGATTTTAAATTAAAATAACTTCATAGTTGCAAAATTATTTTCTGTTCAGGAATTTTTAATATTTGCTGTGTTTTGTTGCTATTATTGAATATTAACGATCAAAGTTAGCAACAAAACGAACATTACCTGACTTGGCATCACCTCGCAGAAAAAATCAGCTAAATCTTGAAATTAATTACAATATCTTGAAAATGTTTGTTCATTTGTTAATTTTTTGTAATTTAAATTTAATTTTAAAATATTTTTTTATTATTTGACATCCACACATTCATATTTGTATTTTTATTTTTGAATTGGTAGCACTTTTATCGAAGTTAAAATTAACTTGTATAATTTTACACGTTAACTCCTAACGTGTATAAATTTTAAATTTATATGAAATTGCCTTTGAACGTTAGCAGCAAAACACAACTATTGTTGTTTCAAATTAATATCTAGTTGGGCAAAGTTATAAAAATCTTTATCTTCTGAATTTGAAAAAATAAAGTTATTCGGTAGTAAAATAATTAGCTTTCTTCCAATATAAAAAGTATTTTGAAATGTTTATTTCGTTTTCATAAACGGTATTTTGTCTATTACAAAATATTATATCATTGCTAATTTTAATTTAATTGAAACAATCATGAACAATATTCATTTTAGTTGGAAGAAAATTTACTAAAAGAAAATAATAAAAATAAGTAAAAATTACTTTTCTAAATAAAGTGTCGGTCAAAAATGGACTTAAATTTACAAAATTTAGATTCTGTTTCAATAACTCACTTATGTGAACACAGAATATAGAAGTGTATGTACTTTTTAAATATTATAAGAGTTTGTCTTTTACTAACTAACTAACTAACTAACTAACTAACTAACTAACTAACTAACTAACTAACTAAATAAATAACTAAGTAACCAAAAATTGTTTCAATACTATAATTCTGATACAGCTTAACCCATTAAACGTCAAGGTCAAAAACTACATCCCACTATAAGTAGGGTATTCTATTTTTTTGTTTTAAAGCTTTAAGTACTTATATATGTAACTGCATTTTGTTAAAACTTGTACTGAATATTTAATTTCAATTAATTTTTTTTAATATTTTACGACATTTTATTTTTTTTGATTTTGTATTCAATTTCAACTTAAGCAGCAAAATATATTTTATTTCAGTGATATTATTCTGCGCAGAAATAAATATACGTAGGAACGAACGAGTGTACGTTCGTACACCTCCTCTCCATATAAGTACAAACCGATAGAAATTCATATAAAGAAATCAAGTCACACGACTTATGGCTGGTGAATAACGTGATTTCAAATTTTACGAGCGAACATTGTTTTAACATCGCAGACTTGTACGTATTGCGTTAAATATTGAACATTTATAAATGAAACTGAATTATGCTAACGTGTCAGTGACTGACTGGAATTGTTGCGTCAGACGTTCATTCAGACAGGCAGTCGGTGGATACGAATAAGAATTTATACATATACAAAATATACACATGTGTAGAAATAAAAAATACAAAACCAAATATGAGAAAAAGAGCGTCTTTGAAAGTATATAAAATTTAACAACGTACTCAATGATTTTTTTTAAATTCTCTGTAATTATGCAGTATTATTTACTATTTATTTATGTAGACCATAATTTTATGCTTTTCTTTTTCATTTTTTTTTAGCAGAACGAGCCCCTCTTTACTATATACTCTTCAATATTTATGTATTTATGTTTTTTATATTCTTTTTAATACAGTTCTTTCTATTTATATTTTTGTTGTTTCATTTTATGTGGAATTAATTTCATAAGATCCATGTGAAATTTCAAACACGTGCTATTTTTAAATTATGTTGCCAAGTAGTTTTGTTGCCAGTTTCAAATTTGACATTTATTAAAACCGAATTTAAAAGCATTTTATGTAAATATGAGCGAAGTACGTACAAGTCGGAATTGAAACGAGTTTTACGAACTTTATTGGTATTTTTAGATTTCTGTTGTTATCGTCGTCAAATGTGCTTTCAATAAATGAAGAGAGTTTTAATCTGTTTATTATACGGTCTGTGTCTGGCGGGTATTAAAAAAGTACTACGTAGATTGTGAAAAATTTACATTTATGCCTGAATTAATGTTAATTAACCGCCAATGGCGACAACGCTGTAATCTATTAAAAACTATTTTGCAAAATAATAATGAGTTCATGGGTTTATATTACAGAATACCCTACTTTCCTTAAGGATTTATATATATATATCGAGCCCTTTTTGCAAAATGGACGTAAGCGACATAATTTTCGATTTTTTTATAGAAATCTATAATTTAGGTCTATTAGCATCATCTCTGAAAATTTCGTAGCTATAGATCCAATAGTTTCAACTTTACAAGAAAAAGAAAAAAGAGGTAAGTACACATTTATTTTCTGTTTATGAATTTTGTAACAGCAAGGTGTCGGTTACGTCTAAATTTTCTTTTAAAATATATTAAATTATAGAAAAATTTTGAACAAATTAACGTATTAAATTTGTTTGTGAGTGAAATGCCACATATCTGAGTATAATTATTATAAATTCATGTAATTATCACTATGCTATTGCAATTTATGTGCTGAAATTTATAATTTTCTATAACTTTTAATGAATATAGTTCATTCTAATTACTAATTACATTGCATTTATATTATTACCATTTAACCAACTCTTATATTTGGTTGTAAGTTTGTGGATTTCGGAAGGCGGTCCTATATATATGAAATCTTAATGAATCGATACTACCAGAATTTACTTATTTATTCGATATATGGCGAATTGTACTACCATGTATGGATATTAATGTGGATATCTGGGTAATTTTAGAATACGGCATTTAACGAGGGATTTGGTCAATTGTGGACCAAGGTCTATATAATTTAAACGCGTGATTAGTTTCAAAAACAAATCATTTTTGTAGAATTTTATCATACTTTCTTAATTTTTGAAAGATTTGTTAACTGTAAACTTATTTTATGTATGAGGGACATATGAACCCATCCTAAAACAACATCATACATCAAATTTCGTTGCTATACTGATATTTTTAAGTCAGCTATGGTCATAAAGTCATTTTCTTAAATAATCCATATATGGAGGCTAGGGTCAAATATTGCCTGATATCTTTCATACTTCCCAACGTAATTTACAGGTAAATAAAACTGACTTCTGCAAAATTTTACAGCTATTACTACATAAACAACATATTTATTAATGCTTTAACTATATTCCAGGGGCACTTATATGGGAGCTAGGTGAAATCATGAACCAATTTTGCCCATTTTTAACACCAAACAATATTTGTCATCAATGAGCATTTTTGGAGAATTTCATCGCTCTAGCTCCTAACGTTCGGAACCTATCCGGTTTTCAACAAACAGACTGACAACGGATATCGCTAGATCATCTTAAAATCTTATACAAAATATTTATTATACTCTTAAATTTCAGATATATACAAATTATATCAAGATATACACAAAAAATTTATTTTTTTAAACAGAGAATTTAGACGTAACCGCCTCAACTTTGTTTATATCATAAAAATTTGTCTCGGCAAAAAAGACGTAAGCGACAAAAAAATCGGATATAGCGTAAATATAAAATCGAAACAAATTGCATCTTATAGTTTAGATATAATAATATATATTAACGGAGTTTTGCAGTAATGCTATGTCCTTCTTCGAAGATAATTAAAAAAAATGCTCTCCTGTAAAATTTAGTTTTTGTCATTTACGTCTTTTGTGCGAAAAGGGTTCGATATATACCTATATGTATATACATTTACATGAGATATTTGCAATGGAAGGTTGCAGATGACACCTGTACGGATTCGAAAATTTATCAAAGTTGTGCCTGTCAGTGTATGTATAAAGTGATTGACTTGCGTCGTAAAAATATTTTTCCTATCAACTTTGATTAATGATTCGTCTTATGTAAGCTAGGTATACACGGTTGTCATATCTTGTAACATTGCCTGGCAAAGTACGAAGAGTGAATGCATCCAAAAATGACAGTCATTTCCACAAATGTCTAACCGACTGGTTGGCTTTAATTCGCCTTTCTTTACAAATGTACTTCCTGCAATTGAGAGTGTAGACTGTCGTAACTTAAGTTTCTCTTTTGTAAGAGAGAGCGAAGACAGTCGTCTCTTTACTGTCCCCAAGTAATCTGGAAAGTAGACATAAAAAAACTTAAGCGAAAAGGTTGTCATATATTGATTTCATTGGACTAGGTTTTTTTTCTCTGGAGTGACAAATGACTAGATCAATTTTTGGCAAATAAAAAGAAGTGAGTTAACACAGTTATCACAATTTTGCTATTAAAGGGCCCTTCACACGGTCACACTTTTCGTACGACAAGTCTAATGAAAAAGTAAAATGAAATTCCATCCGTATGACAAAAAAGAGAATAAAAGTCGTATGATTTATATTTTTTGTGTTTACACGATTGGTATAAAACAATAACAAAGTAAGATGGAACAGCTGTTTCACTTTTTTTTGTATGTGTTTACATAAAAATACATCCCTGATCTAATGCGACTTGCTTGTTTTTTGAATCATTTCAAAAAATGAAGAGAGCCATACGACTGTCAAATTTTCCATCCGTATTTTCTCTCAATGTGTGATGGTTTCATTACATATTGCGTTTAGACGATCCCATCCGTTCTCTTCTACACATAATTTTGACAGATCATATTACTTGTGTGCTCGTGTGAAGGGGGCTTAAGTGGCAGTTAGAGCTTTACTGTCATTTGATATAAATTCTCCTTCAATCAGGATAACGGTAAGAAAGTGTAATTGATAACAAGTAAATGACATTTTGTTTGTCAAGGACATTTTTGTTTTGGTGAATTTCGCAACATAAAGTTGCCATAAAGAATTATGATGAAAGAATAAAATTTTCTCCAGAAATACCCAGAAATTCTTTTAATCGGTTTTTGTTTTGTTTTAATTTTAAAATATGTACGGGACCGAACTCATGATTTCATTCATCAATACGTGCAATAAAGCAAATATACAAACATTCCATCAATGTTGTATACATATGTGTGACTGACCAGACTAAATATATTTTGAGTCATATCCACAAAAAGTTTTTATTGCTTATTCAATACATGTTATTCGAGTGGTGTTAGCAACAGATTTTTCTTTAAATTTTGTACTTTTATTGGTGAAATACAAATTGTTTTGTGTTTTATTTTTAATTTCCAAGGAATATTAATTACTATAAATATAATTCCCATATCAAATATTAAGGTCAAATCGGACAATGTTATAATGTTTTCTTATCATCGGATTTGTAAATGTGAACGAGAAGATTATTAAATTTTAAATTGTATAATGTATAAATCATAAATTATACTAAATTTATTCCAATAACATATAAAAATACTATTACTTAATTATATGTATATTGCTCCAATCACTATGAGTCTCAAATTATTAAAAAATTTTGTAACTTAAGAGATTCAAGTTCTTAAAATATCCTATTATTTTCCGAACATTTTATAAAAAATTCACAATTTTTATTTTAGGGGGCTGATAAAATGTGGCGTTTTGAAAATTTTACTTTATCAGGGATTTTCTGTTTATTCTTATTATGAAAGTTAATTTTCATTTAAATTCATTTAACTTAAGCCTAACCTAAGTCTAGTTTACGAAAATAATACAAATTTTTAAAAACAATTTCAGAATAATAAGTATAACTGAGATCTATCTCAGGGTAGATATTATGCTGGTACTGCGCACATTTTTAAACAATTTCTGTATTATTTAGTTTAGATTTATTTGGTTATAATAAAATGAATGAAATCTAAAAACTTTTGTTGAGAATGTTGAATCTTTGAAAAAGAAAAAATGAGAAATGTTAACATCATTATTATGACCAGCCCTCGTTTTAAACAGAGGTACGTACAATCACTATTGAATGTCATTTATTATAGAGTGACAAGCCAGACCCTCATGCCTACAATTATTTGTTAATTTTTTCAATGTTTAAACATTGTTATTGTAATTTTTTTAAACAGTATTAATTAAAAAATATAAATTCTCATAGTTCATTGATTCAATGTTTGCTTAATTAAGCAAATAATAAAAACAGAATTTCTTTCTTATCAGTTAAATGTATAAAAATCTCCTACAAAGAACCCGTAAATGATGCTAAATGGCCCAAGACTAAACCATGATAAGCGTTTTTTTCTATTTATCAAAAGTCGGGAGTTTGGTGTTTTTTTTTCAAATTCATTGAATAATTTTTGTTTTTGGAACTATGTCAAATAAAAATGTACTTGAAATAAAATGATAGTTGTAGAGAGATATCAAAAAGAGGGTGTGTTTGTGTTTCTAAGTAGAAACGTGAACGTGATTTTCATATTTGAAATATATACATAGGTTTGTACGTACATACATATGTATTAGGGTGATCGACTCGATTTTTCAACCGGTTTTAAAACCGGTTTTTTCTGCTTTACCAGTGTCGGTTTTTTCTTAATGTTGATTTTTCGAATATCGAATAACCCGGTTTTTTCACTTTTTAAAAACCGGTTTCGAATACTTTTATTTGCTTTATATTCAAAGATTATTTAAATGAAATTTTTAAGTAAATAATAATAATACAGCCCGTCTAAATTTTAAAAATATTCGAGTCGAGGAACTAGCGTATATTTTTCTACAGCTCCTTTGTTAAACTTTTTTGATTTTCCTAATTAATTAAAAAAATTTATTTGTAAAATTGATAACTGTTTGATAAAATTTTATCAATCTTTAAATTATCTTCCAATTACAATAATTAATTTGCAGCTGAAATTTTATGGAAGTGTTGGAATGCCTGTGCAAATTTCCTAAACAGGGCTTTTAAAATAAGCTAGGATTACATAGTACCTTATGTTTAACAGAAGTGTCCCACTTTTTTCCTAATTTTTTTATATTAAAGAAATAATGTAAATCAGACGACTAGATCTAAAGTTATAATCTTTTAAACTGTAAAAAATCATTTCGGGCCATGTTTTATTAATCAAATTTAAACATAAACATTAAGTTTTTCAAATTAAAATATATTTTTTTATTTATAATGAAAAACCGGTTAACCGGTTTTTTCTGTATTTGAAAAATATCAACCGGTTTTTTTTAAATGTCAACTATTCGAACTATTCGAAAACCGGGTTTTGGAAAATGTCGAATAATCGATCACCCTAATATGTATTGAAAATGTGGCATCATAGCCATAAAAATAACTCGTATATTTGTACAATTATTGGAATGATGATGAAGTATTTTTAAACTTTGTTGAAATACAACCCAAGTAAAAATAATTCAATATTATTCATATTATTTTATA